AATCAATATATATATATATTTGGAACAAGTTAAACGTATGTATAATAAATCATTCACACTATAGATGTTATACTTATAGGCATATCATAAACACTATATGTATAGTGCTCTTTTTTTTGTCAAAAGTCCACTTAGGCCTGTTAAATTACTTTAGAATTTCAGTTAACAAGCCAAACTATCTTCTCTATCACTATCGTACTAGTATTCTGTGTGTGATTCACTTACAAAGTTACCATAATCGTTTGGTTTTCTTTCTTCTGAAGATCCTCTGTTCCTTTTGTCAAAGTGCACTCAGGCTGATTCAGTTACTTTAGAACCACGCTTTGATGGAATACATTATTTTCTTATCTTCTTTTTTACTGTTAGTCTTACTCTAACATATTAAATGTTAGGCCTATCACTTCTACAATAGTTAACTTTTCCTTTTGTAAGTATACTTTCTTCTGCTATTATCTGTCTGCTGGTTCCCGCTCATCTCACGTTATTTATATCTTTATCACCTAATCGTTTGTCTGCCTTCTATATTCTCGGCATCAATGTATTGCACGTGACGTTCAGTAGTCTCAACATCATTGAATTATTAACAAAACCTTCTACAATCATCTGCTTTTAACTCTTATTATAACAAAAACTAAGCAGTAATAAAATATTCACTCTCAAAAACAAATTAATCAATAACATCTAGACTAAACAGTCTTTTATATCATGACATACATGGGCAAGAAATCTGCCATGTTCCTTTGTTGTTCTCTAGTAGATAGTACCTGTTCTACTCCTCAAGAGTATTGCTGCAATACTGCATGTTGTGCAAAGATGTTGATAGCAGTGTTCTTCAGTGGTAGTTCAGGTGTTATCTTGAGTAAATATTGGTTACTTCTGCTTTACTTTGAGTCCAGTCTCTTTATTCCATTCTCATGGCTAATTTACTCGGAGATATTGCATTACTTCATAATCAGAATCTTGACTGAATGTCTTGTTATTAAGTGGACCTATTCTGTTACTCTAAAGTTAATTCAGTTTGACCTGGATATACCACATATCCACAAATGAAATGTTTCACAAGAAGTTGGTAGCTCAAATGCTACTGCAAGTTAAATTTATGCAGATGTTTCACTAATACATATACGCTATGAATTATAAAAATTTAGAAGATTTGTAAATATACTTCTATTTCAGAAATAATCTGTGCATTTATACATTTTCTTGATACTAACTTTCAGGTATTGTAACAAATTTCTTGTAAGAACACAATACTTTGGCAACATCACACTTATTAACAAATCACTTATTCCAGTACTCAAAAATCCTATTGCCTAAGAAACTCGGGCAATTAAGCAAATATGTATATGTCTGATCACACTGTAAAAAATTTCCAAAGCTCTAAAAACAAAAACAGGCATTTTTCTTCATGATTAAAGATTTAAAATATATGTATTTCATGTTTAGCAGTTACTTTAAATTTATTTTTATTAATCAAACTATGCAAGCTTTACTGTCATACTTAGTTATTAAAACCTTCCGTTCAAATTTACAACAAGAAATCTTGTTTTGTGTTAAGATCAGTTTGTGAGCCCCACATCATATTGTGTTTCATTTTTAAGACAGTCCCTGGGAAATAAGCATTCAGTGTAGTTTTAGGAAAGAGAAAACACATAGATCTAACAACAATACCCTTGTGTTTTGTATGTAAGAAGCCACTTTCATTAAAGCCATGGTGTAAGCATGAGTTAGTAGAATAAATAGCCTTCTCATGCTTACTTAGTGGAGTTTACAAATATTTCATAGTCAGAAAAAATGTAATATGTGTCTTTTTTTTTTTTCTTCTTAGGTTCGAACGATACATCATACCTACACATTATCAGCAGAAACTTTTCAAGAAATGATGGATTGGGTGTCCAGCATTCAAGAGGTAGCCTTTGGTTTGTCATCCAACAGTTCAACCGAAGTATCCTCTTTTTCAAATACATTTCAAGAATCTACAGAAGAAGAAAACTTACTTTATGCTTCCATAAATGCACGTAAGTAATTATTAAAAATATATCTTTTTAAATTGGATTCAGATAATCTGTTAATCTAATTATAGTGACCATTCTTGGTTGTTTTTTTCTGGAATTTTTGAAAAGCATTACTGACTAACTATTTCATATTATTACTGAAATTTTTTGTCTTAATAGTGAGTGATTCAAAACTTTTCACCATTTTAGTGATTCGGGATTTGGCAGTAAATGTAATATTTTATTCAAATAAATGTGTCTAATTTTGGTTGAAAGCTCATACATTATCACTTTTTTTGTAGAAAATATCTTTTAATAGCAGTAGGGATTCTCCTTTATAGCCCATGTGTTTCAAGTTAAATCCAATAACCATATTTTCAGACTTTAAATTCATTGAATTCCAGTGTAGCAAATTTTTAGTTTTTGCTATAAGGATAATCGTACACATTGCTTTCAGAGGTTAAGGCATTCAGGTGAAATGATTGTTACTTGTGTTACAAAGATTTTATTTATTTATGTGGTATCCCTCAGATAACCAGCAGAAAAGTTAGGCCTTCTAGTAACAGGAGGTTCTCGAATCTCTAGTTTTGAGATGTATTTCCCTATGAACGGCGGTTAATTGGATTTTGCAAGGAATGAAACAAGACAAGTTTCACACAAATAAATATTTACTGATGTTCTCAAAAAACAATGCTATACAATGGGCAAATGATCCTGTGTGTACTTTAAACTAAAAAATGTAAAATAAAAACACTATGTGAAAGTGTCCCCCAGTTAAAAGTAAAACAGTAAAGTTATCTCTTGTGTAAACTCTTGTTAAACTTCTATTTAGATTTTGTTACAATAATAACCTTACTTTAAAAATACTTCACTATCTCCTGAAGCAGATTCTACACTGTTCATTTACAGCAAACATAAACAACTTAATTAAACCTGGGCAATAGTTAAATAGGCACTTGCACAAACAAACATGAGAGCAAAAGTCCATGTTGCACTAGAACTGTAGGAGTTCTCATTAAGTATGCAGAAATGTAATGCAAGGTCTTTAGGAACTTTCATATAAAGTTAAAAGGAACTGAAAGTACGTAAAAATTTCATGTGAGAATTTTAAAGAGTTCTCACACAAAATTAAAGGCAGGTGAAAATCACACTAAAGCTGAGCTCTTTAGTACAACCATGAGCTTAAATACTCAGTTAATCTCGACATCATAATGTACCCAAGTCCATGGTGCAAACTAAGGGCATTACTGCCTGCAGCTATTATCTGATTTGCTGAGAAGAATAGCTCAGTTCATTAATTCTGTGATTTGCCCCAAGGTAACTTGGGCTATCTCCATGTTTAAAAAAATATTTGTCTGAGCTAATTCAGGCAAACCACTTTTCTCCATATTTTAAATTATTTGCTCGAATTTATTTACACGTTTCTATTACAATCAGTGTTTACTAGATGGCATTGGAAATGCTAATTCTGTTGATCTCTATCAATTTATCACATAAAAACACATACATGTAACATTTATCTATCAAATGCATTTTGTGCAAAAATATAACAACAGTTCATAAAAGAACTCTTGTTTCATTAATATTTAGGTATAATCTATAAAAAAATGAAATGAAAAAGCTGACATTTTCTGCACTCATTTCCAGAAAAACCCTGACATGGAAGGGTTTAATTACAGCTTTCATCATTCCTGTAAGAAATTGATAAGCAAACTTTGGCCCTCACCCAACCCCACTTGCCACTCAGGGAAAGTTAAGTTGAGAAATGCTACTTGTCTCTGCACCACAAAGAGCTGTTACCTTGTGTTCACTGCCATGTCAATGTGTATTGAATTAACTTATGATGTAATTGTCATTAGAATATAACCCTCCACCAGTAGGAGGGTGATACATCTTCCAGGTGCAGTAATACACACACATGAGGACTATCATTTGAGCATAGGTTCATTCTTGAGGCAAACTAGATACATTGAAAATGGGGAGGAAGGTGGGAAGTGGTGCAGAGAGGTGAGTATCTATCTGAAATACATTTTCAGATAAGGAAAATGTTAACTTCAAAAATGGTACTCTCCTCTCTGCACCACAAAGAGCTAGAATCCCACATACAATATGGTGGAGGGGCTGGTACAGAGAAAGAAATAACAAAGATGAGCTCCTTTCTGACACTTTTTTCGTGGAGAGTGACATCCACGAGGTGGAAGGTAGCCTAGTGGGGCAGCACTAAGTGGAATACTACATCCATCTGAAGCAGGGAATACTCTTTGACCAGTTTTATTCTGGTATTTGTTGCTAGGAGAGGTGGTAGAGCAAAAGAAAGTGTCACAAAAATCTTTTGCATTCTCTATAGGAAAAATACATGAGATACTCACCCCAATAATCAGATGCAAAGAGAAGCATCTCACCCTAGATAAAACCAAGACCCATCTGGCTGGACCAAACCACCAGGAATAGCTTGGTTCATAATATGGTGGGGTGTCTTGTACTACACTACCAGGTAACACCCCAACCTTACTTCCACAAAAATATTACAGTATTACTAAACACACAGTTTTTGAGTGTGCTGTGCTATACCTTTGCAGTAAAATTTAGCATGAGATGATTGATATCTTTCTTTGGTGGGTATGTTAAAAAGTCAATGATATGTGTGTGTTTATATGAATTCAATAAGTTAATATTAAAAATATACACTGTTATACACAGTAAGTACCCAAAATTGCTTACGCAGCAAATCTTCATACCAGCATTCATCAGCCAAAATACCACTTGCTCTGATATTTATCCAACCTTGAGTAATCGTGTTCTCAAAGTTTTTTTAATGGAAAGTAAATAGAAGATTTTTTTTAGTTTTTAAAATAGACAGTCAGAAAAAAATGAAAATTACAAATCCATTTTTTAAACTTCATTTCATGTTTAACAAGGCTTTCAGTGATTCTTTTTTTTTCTGAGTAACTGTTGCTTCAGCATCTTGTAATGCAACATTAGAATTGAAAAGTTTTTCTTAGTGACTTATCTGTTATTAAACTTCCTCTTAATATACATAATTACTTTAATCTAATTTTACTTAATAAGGTGTTAATACCAAGAGCAAACAGTTATCGTATTTGTAATTCTTTCACAATTAAAGCCACAATTGGTCTTTTCCCATGTCTTGTTTTTCATGCACTATTTTTCTTATTCATTTGAGTTAAGCTGAACTGCTGTATATGAAATAATATTTATAACATATCAGAATTGCTGCTATTAGCTTCTGTACAAAAGTATAAAAACAAGCTTTTCATTAAACAAGAAACATTTTTTTAATGTTCTTTTTGTCCTATGTTGTAATTATTTAAAATATTTTTCTGAAAAGATAAAAAACATACTTTTCAATAATTGTACACAGTTTTCAATTTAGAATAACATAGATAAAATAGCAAAAATAATACTTTTAATAATGATTGCATTTTTTAAAATATATTTCACTATTCTGACTTCTGTGTATTAAAGCCCATAACTATTCTATTTTATTATAAAACTTGTGTAATATATGGTTAATCCAATCTTTTTTTTTTGTACAAAAATGTTCATGTAAATTCTCTCATCACTGAAAGGTAATTCTGACACAGTATGTTACCTCCTTTCACATAAATAGCTATTCTCATCAGTGCTGCCCTCTACACACACTTTTTTTTCCATGCCACTAGCCTTGACCTCCCATGTACCCCAAGATAAACGTGGTTCAATTGCATGTTGCATGTAACTCATCATGCGACAACCCTTCACCAATAGGAGTGCAACACACCCTCTGTTTGATCCTACTGAACTGTCACTTCTCATTTGGCATTGCTGTTATCAAGACATTTTGTGTTTGCTCTCTTCCCATGTTTTTTTTTCTTCTAAATATCATACAAAGTGGAGATATTTTATATTTTTTTCTACTTCACTTTACCTGTTTTAAGTGATAACTTACCTTTACTGCTTTCCACTTTTTCTGGGGGGTTTTCACCAAAGCTTATGTTTCTGCTTTGAAAATGTTTTCATTTACTTGCAGCACAATTACTTTGGCTTCAGGTGGCAGTACTTGATTGAGGAATTGTCATAAGAAGATTGATGTAATATGAGTTGATCTTCTTCGGGCCTTGAGTTTGATGGCCCACAGATTTGGGTCTGCTGACTTTGGACAGATAAGCTGTTATACTGTCATAGCTTTTTGAATATTTTGATATTAATATTATTGTTTGTAGTTATTTGGTTTCAATAACATACTTTTAGTTAGATTTGTACCTACTTCTTGTAATGTTAGGGTTTTTTAATTACTGTTTAGTAATATCCTTTTGTACTACAACCTTAGTTTAGGCTTAACATATGTCTTTATAATTTTAGGCTTACCTGTCATTCATCTTACTGGTAAATCTTAAATTAGGTTAAATATATTGTTTCTTCAACAAATACCATCTACTAAATTTTTTATTGCCAACATACACTTACATAATTTTACAATACAATGGCTTTTTCATTTTCATAATTAATTATATTTTATACTTCATACAATTAATTTCGTTTTTGAGTCTCCCTGGGTCCGGGGTCTGCCCAATCTTCTCCCACTATTGCTCACCTTCCTCCTCAAACTTTCGAACTCATTTGGAATGACATCTGTTTTGACAATTTTTCTCTATCTGATTATGAAGTGGTCTGCCCAGGCCTCTACTGCAGAGTCTGTTAGGCCTACCTCAGCTCTTTTTATACACGTTTCACAGTTTTTTGTTGTTGTTTTTTCCTTCCTTTTCCAAACATTTTATTTTTAGTTCATGCTGGGACTTTTTGTCTGTCTTTTGAGAGATGGTGCTGGCATGACTTGCCCTCCAAGGGCTTTGGCTCATTTTGCCTTAGAATACCATCAGGCACATTGTTTTAGTTTTCTTGCTAATCTGCACTTCTAACATCTGTTGCTTGTATGGGGACAGAATCTGTTAATCCTATTCCTTTCTCTCTCTAGCCAAGTTTTCCAGCTTTCGTCCTACTGGTATTGGCCACCATACACCTCCTTTCTGAGACGTTCTATCTGTTTCTTATGGATTTTCATGGGATACCTTCCACCTCCTTACCTTCATGTTGGGGTGATTGCTATCTTCGGCTCTTTCACTACAAACATGGCTTCTTCTTCTGGGGTGGGACACTGTCTTGTGCCAAGTTCGTTTCCCTTCCACTTCTAATTAGGACTTATGGACGGCTCTTTTCCTCCACCTCTCCATTTGTTTGGTGGTGTTACTCCTGTGACTTTAGCATCATGTGTGGTATCTGTATTGCTACATTCGATTTTATTTCTTTTTTAGTTGCATTCTTTATTCACGTTCCATGTCTGACACCTATCTGTCATTTACCTGTTTTACATCTAAGCATTCCTTCATTAGTTGTGTATTATCGATGCAGATTGGGGTTCTGTGATTGATCTGTCTCACCTCAATCACTTCCGGGTTCTTTACCTTTTTCATATGTCTTTTATTACACTATGGTAGGCTTTTTCTCCAGGATTGAGGATGCCCACAGTTGACCTTTTGTATTCTTATGTCCACGTTCCCATTTTTGAGCCCTCGTGGTGCTGTCTTAAGTTTGTTCACCATGGAGTTAGGTACTAGTTTCATGTCTTGCTCTTCTAGCTAGTTTCAGATCTGTATGTCTTTGTCTCCAATTCCTCATCCACTTGCCTTGGCTGTTGATGCATTAAGACAGGATTGGGACCTATTTATACATTTATTTTCTCATCCCATTCGTTATCTTCCCTGAGTATTTTCGTTCATCCATTGCTACTCTGTCATGTCTTTCTGATTGCTCCTTCCTGGCTGACACAGATCTGTTTTTCTCACCTGCTTCAATTTGATCTGTCCTTTTTGTTCTTGATCAATTTTCTTACCCTCCATTTTGGTGAGTCTTGGGACATATTCTTCCTTTTCTCTGTTTTTTTTCCTTCCATCTCCCACCTTTAATCCTAGTTGGATCCGGTTGGCCTTCTATGTCCTGTACTGGCTCTGGGTTGCCTAGTTGCTTTTATGGCTTCTTTTCATTGGTTACTTTTCCTGCTGTTTCATTCCCTGGCACCACTCTTCTGTTTGTGACTTTTTCCTTCCACTCTTACCCTTTGGATAAGGCTTTTGATTTGATTGGCTTTTTCTTTCTTGTCTCCTTTTTCCTCGTAATCAGTTCATGGTGTCTCCCTCTGATTAGGCATCTTCCACTTTTACCTGCATCTCACCCTTGTTGTACATCAGAGTTATTTCCTCCATCGAGCACTGGGACTACACCTCGTACATTTATCTCCCATTATATGCTTTGGATAGCTGTTTCTTCCTTGTCAGGGTACCATTTTCCATCTGTCACCATCTTTCACTCTTTGGTGAGACTGTGACTGGGTAAGATATCTTTTTGTTTATATACCTCTTATTTTTCAAGGGCATGTCCCTCTTGTTCTTTATGAATCCCATTCTGTGGTGAGTATGCCTGTCCAAGTATACTTAAACTAGTCAAATCCACACTGTAAGGCCATGATGACTTAAATATTATAACTTACATGGTTACTAAATGCACTCTGTTGAGTTGGGGTGTTCCACAAGATCACTCATAGGTTTTCCTCACAACGTACTTACTTCATTCATATGCCTATTTTGGACTTACTAACTCATGGACTTCATGGGTAAAGCAGAAGGGGATAGTTACCCATCCCTGCCATTTCTTAGATAGAATTAATCAGGAGCGGTCTGCTTTTCAAAATAGAGTTTTCATTGTTTCCCGTTGCACTGTCCCTGGTGTTGACATTCCTCCAGACTCTCCACTCCATTTTCTTCCAGTGGAGTATGTCTGTCCTTACCACTTTTCAGTTCTAAGCCACTGGGGTGAAGGACCATGGAGGCATCCTTCTGAATGTGATAATGATATACAATACAAATAATGATAAAACGATTCAGTTGAGAATAGGGCAGTGGTGTTCTGCTGGTGCAGATGATGGGATGTCCTCCAATCTTATGCTCCATCTCTGTATATGTTTATACAAGGGAATGTTGTAGCTTTGGAGTGAGCAGTCAAAATTGCAGTTAACCCCTTTGATTTGGGTCCCTCATCCTACCCCCACATGGATGTTGGTTCCCAGTGGCTGGATTTTCGATTCATAGCTGAACCAGTCAACACAAGTCCTTACACATGTATTGTAGATGTTTCTTTTTCCTCACTCATTTATACTCTTGTTCCCTCCACCCATGTTATGGGTCACAGTGGTGGTTTAACTTGCAGATTAATACAGTTCTTCCTCTTACACTATCCTTCAATGATTTTCTTGTACCAAGGCTGTTATTATGCTGGGGGCACTTCCTGTTGGCTTGGTTTTGAGTGAGATAGTTTACATTACAAAGACATCTTTACTGTACTGATCATCCAGATATTGGATTCTTGGATCGGTCAAACAATTCATTATGTTGCTATCATATGCCCTGTTTATAGATTTGGGGGGCTACGAGATTCCCTCTGATCTGATGAACTTGAGGTGAAGACAGTATGATCCTCTTTCCTACCCCACCAGATGGCTGTGTTTTGGATTTTAGTTGACTTGCCGCTAGTATGATCCTCTTTCATACTCCCACATGGATGTTTGTTCCCAGTGACTAGGTTTTGGAATATAATTGACTTACTGATGATATGATCCCCATCTTACCACCGTGTAGACGTCAGTTCCCGACAGCTGGGTTTTGGATGCAGTTGACTTGCTGTGTACAGTCCGTTGTGCCCTAGCCACTCAACACCTAGAGGCACATCCTTTTACTCTAACCCACATTGATGGACTCTGTGGGATTGAGATTCCAATATTGTGTGGTTCAGATCCCTATACAACAATTGTCCTCTCCCCTTTGGATACGCTCTTCCCAATTTATGCCCGTGTCTGCGACACCTCTTTCCACACTGGGTGAAGAGTATACCTGGTACAGAAGTGGTGTGGTCTCCTGCATATGATCCTCTAGTGTGAGGATCTATTCATCCAGGGTGTCCTTTGGATGCTTCTTTCTTTCCCTTGCACTAGTCCCTCCACCTATTCAATGTGGGATTCTAGCTATTTATGTGAGAAGAGATAATGTAGCTATCGGAAGATGTAATTTTTCTATACTGAAAATTTATTTTTGATAGGTACTTACATCCACTCACACTTCCCACATTTCCTCCCCATTGAAAACTGGTGCTTCTATTTTCTGCCAAAACTTGAAGTGATAGTTCATTAGAATCGAATAGAGGGAGTCACATGCATCAGGAGGGTTTGTCGCAGACCCATTGGTGGAGAATTGTTGCATGATGATTTGCATGTGAGACACAGTTGAACCACATTGATTTTAGGGTACATGGGAGCTCAAGGCTTGTGGCATGGAAAAAAGTTTTGCATATAGAGGACAGCACTGAACGAGAATAGCTATTTATATGATAAGAGGTAAATATCTATCTGAAATAAATTTTCAGTATAGGAAAATTATGACTTCAACTCTTGCCATTTTAATCAAACAATATTCATTACTCTTTACTTGCCATAAGTTTCAAGAAGTAATAAAGCTTTTCTTTTTTTAGAGTAATATTAATTTCACATGTTTGTTGTTGAAAATTATTTTTAATAATTTCTAATAGCTTTTATCCTAGTATAATATCATAAGAAATCAAATATATGGAGGTCACCATTCATAAGAACATCAGAGTCTTGTTAGATCAGTATTATAAAGCAGCATTGTAACTAATGTTTACTAGTATATTTTCTAATTACTATTTTTTTATCATAACTTTCCCTATTTTAAAAAGAATCTCAGGATTTAGCATATTTCATACTTTTGTAAATGCAAAATGTAAGAGATTGGCTTTTATATATAATTAACTTACCTTCTCTATCCCTATTTCAAGACAAGAGTAAAACAACTTGTCCTGTATCAATATTGTTGGTTAACTTTATACATTTAAGAAAAGTATATTGTAAATTTCTTTAATTAGTCATTGTTTATCACAATTTTATTCCTTAGCTGAAGTCTATCAAGTGAAAGTTGTTGAATCTGAAGCTGCAAATCGTTGCGGTTTGCAAGGAAATTATCTGTTAATAGTTAAATCAGCTTCAGTATACCTAGCAGAGCAAGGACAGTTGGGATCTATTGGGAAAACGATTCAAACATGGCCTTACAGGTACATCCGACGTTATGGAAAAACTCCTAAAGGATTTTGTTTTGAAGCAGGACGGAGGTGTCAATCAGGGGAAGGACAATTTTACTTTGAAACCATACATGGATTGGCTATATTTCAGAGTATTACAGCTCACATGAGTGCTCTAAAGTCCAGTCCAAGTGAGAGTGACTCTCAGCATAGCCCTAGTCCTGGACCAGAAAGTGGAAACAATAGTTTTAATCTTTGGCAACCTCCACCATCGATAGAAGATTCAAAGCTCACATCAGAAGTTAACAACCAGAAGTGTATCTTGGATTGCCCAAATTCACTTTTAAACAAGAAAGATGATTTTTTTAACTACTCTGCTTTGGAATTACCAACACTGGCCAAAGATCTTAAAACTTTAACCATTGACAAGCCCCCTAATCTCAAGCCACGGCCACCAGTCAGTAAGCCACCCAGAAAAAGTAAATTGAACAACAATAACAAATTTTCTTTTGAAGAAAGTCTCATGGTACCAAGCAGACACTCGATTGTTCCAGAAGGTCAGTATGAGCAACCTATACAGCTAAAGAAGATATCAGATACGCTATCTCCCCAACAGTTAGCAAGAAAAGATGAATCAAAAGAAAATCAAGCTAGTCAACCTTTGTGTGCTTCTTTTGAGGAAGAACCATTAAGTCCAAAATTATTAGATAATAAGTCAACTCTAAAGTTCAAAAGCTTGCTTCCATATCGTGCAATCACTGATTTAGGTCCTCACAAAAGTGAGGATGGAGAGAGTAGTAAACATGAGTATGATCACCTCAACTTAACAGGTGGAAGTGCGGGTCATCTTCCAACTCTTAGCCCAAACAACCAGCATATCTATGGTAAGCTGTCCTTTCCATCTGGTTACAAAATGTCTTCTTTATCCACAGAATCTGATTATGCAAATGTAAACAGCTCAAACCCTTTTTTAATATCCTCTGCTGAGAATACGAAACACCCACCACCCTCTCAACCTGATCCTAAACAAGTTGATGAAGAACTTGATTATGCTAATGTAGATATGTGTAGGTTTCAGTGCTGTTCCTCATCCAATTAGTCACACTAGTGGACCAGCTAACTAACCTCACATTTCAATGACTTGTTTCAATTGAAAAACCAAATAAAGCATAGGTCTTGGTATATAAATAACCTGATTAATAGAATTTTGTGTTTTTTTTTAATTATGTTATTATGTTGCCCAGTTATACATACAACACAACTTATGCTTTGTATAATAAATGTGCTGTAAATTTATGATCAAAGTACTTCCTAGGTACAACAGGTTCAACTTTGTAGTTCCTTATTCAAAACCAGGGAAGGTCATAAGTCTTGTGTACAAAGTAATCATTGTACATTAAGATATTGCAAACTTAAGTTGGGTTTGATAGACATTGTTTTTTTTTAGTCAAAAGATATAAAAAACAAGTCAAACTTTCTGTGATTTTTAGCTGAAAAAAATCAACACTTACTAGGTTATTTATGAACTTGATACATAGTTTCGTTAATTTTAAGACAAGCAGTTTTAGTAGTTGCTGATTGAATTTCATGTTTTTACTGTAGTATTGAATGAGTTTTTTTTTTTTAGTTTAGTGTATTAGAAATGTGAATTTGAATCATCTTATCTGTATATATTTGACAGATTTCTTCAGTTTGGTTTTTTCACCTTAGATGGAAGTTAATTTTAAGAGCTTTACTATTGTTAAGTGTCTGCTTACTCCACCTCATTATAGTTATTCAGGGTCAAAAAGAATTATCCACTAAGGTTTAAATTTTTTTTATGTTGTTCCGATTTAAAATGTTTCACTTTAAGTATAAAAGTGTCCAAAATTTTTATGGAATTTCCTAGTTCTTTTCACTATATAATATTTTCAGTTTGGTTAATAGCAGCACTCAGAAAAATACAGAGTTAAGGAAATGAAAACTATGTTTGTGTCACTTTATCTTAGAAAGCAAAGGAAGAAATAGAAAACAGTTAGGCCAATGAATCTAGTCGGGATGGAATATTTATAATAATTTTTATTGTGAGATATTTTTACAGTATGCAAGACAAAGAGGTAAATGTACTTCTTAATGAATAAGTATGATACATTAAATCTTAGTTTTACCTCACTTTTATGAGTTTAGTTTTATACATGTACTTAAACAATGTGCTATCAGAGTCATCAAGAACTTTAATTAATCTGTTTAAGAAGATGAGATGTATCTTTAAGTGGATGTCATTTAGACTTGGTGAGTCAAGTTTAAAAGGGGAATATTGCAGGAAGTTTCCCGCAATGCCTCAAATGAACAATATTTTTTTTAGACTTGTAGTAATTTGTTTAAGTTAAAGGTCACTAAGACCTACTTTCTGTGATTTACAGAGTTTAGATTTCTTTCCCTTCTCTTTCACAATTTGAAAAATATTTGTATTTGGGTGATGTTTATGCAGACTTGTATGTAATTAGTTTCTGTTAATCAGACAGAATGTAAACTTTTCAATACATTTTTTTATGTAATTTAGGCAGATTAAGAAGATATGTTTATTTGAAGTGTTAATTGGTTAGGTGTTTCGGGCAAAAAATGCTTGTATCTTTAGAAGTACAGTTACAAATAACAGAATTTATTTCTGGTCATTGCATTAGTTTCAAATTGTTATAAATTTCATCAATTACATTTTTCATGTGCTGTTTATTGCAAAGCTTCTCAGTGCCATTCATCTGACTGCAACTTAGAAATATGCCTAATTTTATATCATTTGTGCTGAGTTTTATTTTTCATTGCACCTTAATAAAATAGTAAACAAAATATTGGCATTAAAGAAACTTAAAGTAATATTTTTCCATCAAAAGAACCAAAAAAGATTGATTTCTGTAACAAAATGTAAAAAAAGATAATTGTGTTAAAAAATCTTGAAGAATATTCTGTATGAAAAGTGTTCCAAGATATACTACTTTGTGTTATAAATACATACCTTTATCTACATGATACATACTTAACTACATGTAAAACATATAATACACTATTTCAGATTTATCCTGTTTTTGAATTTTTTTTCTAAGCTCTTCAAGTATCTCAAATTCAAATAATTAATTGTCATGCTATCATATATTACTTTTTGCATTATTTGTATTATTTGCATTATTAATTCAATGAAAGCTACAATTTAAAAACCTCGCATGTTGTGTAAGTTATGGAGAAAGTAATTAGTCTCATAGACTAGTGAAGTGGTAAATTTTTTATTTCCTTCTGAAACAGTAAGATGTCTGAAAGGTAGAAAATTTTATAGACTGTTGTGATACAAGTTTCCAAAAGGTAATAAATCCTATGTTGCCGTTTTAAATTGTAAAATTTCCAATATGCAGTAAATATTATATTCTTTTGTTAAATTGGTTTCAGCTGGTTGTAAATTTTAGACCTTTGTCAAATAGGGAGGTTTCCTAGCATGTAGTAAATTCTATAGCCTCTTGTGAACTAGATTTTCAACATGTAAATCTTATATCTGCAAGGGAAATAAATACATTTCCATATGTAGTAGATATTATATTCCTTTGTGAAATTTTAAGACTTCCAAGAGGTAGTAAATCTTGTAGCCCATTGTGAAATAGCAAGAACTCCACCAAGAAGATAAATGTATGGTCACTTCTACATTAAGTTCCCAAAAAGTAGTAAAATTTAATGGTCTCTTGTGAATTAGCTACGAAACTAGTAGTAACCATTAGCAAGTACTGAGGTACTAAACATGTTGTATATCTCGTGGTCCTTTGTGAAATAGGCTTTGTAACATATAGTAAATTGTATGGTATCATATGAAATAGGTTTCTTACATGTAAGTCTTATATATCCCTGTGCTTAATAATATGTTTTTTAAATTGTAAGTTACATAATCTCTTGTGAAATAGTATGGCTTTTAGTAGGTAGTCATTCTACAGTCCCTCATAAAATATTAAGGATTCCAACACTTAGAAAATCTTATGGTTCTTTGTGAAATAATAAGATTTCCCTCGGATAGTAAATTCCTATATGATATGTAACCTCCAGTCACATATAGTACTCTTATTCAGTACTGTCTTCTATATGCAAACATTTTTGCTTGCCACTAACCTTGAAGCTCTCACCTTGTGTATCCATGTGATATTGCTGTGTTGTTGCATGCAAATGAGCCTGTGACAACCCTCCATTAATAGTAATGTGACACACCCTCCTAGTGCAGCTAACTCCCTCTATACTGATTGTTCAATCACCACTTCTCAATTTGGCACCTGTGACTTAAGATGTATTTTTTTTTTTTTAGCTAATGAGGTTTCTTAAGTTAGGAGTTTTTTTTCTTGTGTAACTATCACAGACCAAAACTTTTTTGTGGAAAGTTTACTCTTGAAATTTATTTTCTAGCTTCATATTTAAATAATTCTGTACCTGCAGATTTTGTAGGTTTTTTCTTTCCACATTATGAATTCTCAGGTTACTGTCGCTTCCACTTTGTCTGGTGTGGGACGGCAAGAAGTTATTCATGCTAGACAGACGACAATTATGGCATCAGGCTTCTCTTTGTCTGTTGAGGAAGTGATGGCCGTTGTGCAATGGGAGCTGGAGTTTTTCATGCAGCCTGGACCTTCTTCTGATCTTAAAATGAATATTCTTCTACTTGTGGATCCATTTCACGAAGACAAAGTTTTGAAAGCCTTTTTCCACCTCCTGTTTTTGCCACTACTGTCACTGATCTCACAAGACCTTTGATTTTTTTTCCATTTCCTGTGTTTTATGATTCTTTGTCTTCTCTTCTTGATTCAACTACTTCTGCTGACAATTATGAGTCTCCACCTCCTGATATTTGGGTCCATGCTAAACAGTTTTTATCCCAACTTTGTTCTGGTGCCAGGATGCCTCATCCTTCTTGCCTAGTTGATATACATTACTTTTCTTATCATTGGAATGATTTCTTTTTTCTGGACAACCAAAATCTGGAATCTCCTCTTAAGGCTTGGGGTTTGTATTTCTCAGGCTCAAGTGCATCTTTTCTTACCTAATCTCGAAGTTATGATTGAATAATCAATATAGAGGGAGTCAGCTGTGCTATGAGAGTGTCACATTCCTATTGGTGGAGGGCTGTCACATGCTTAAAAATTTAAGTCACAGTAGGGGGGAATATTGCAGGAAGTTTCCCACAATGCCTCAAATGAACAGTATCAGTGCAGCAATATCATCTGGACACACGTGAGTTTAGATGAGTCTCAAGGCTAATAGCAAACAAACAAATTTGCATATAGAGTGCAGTATTGAATCGGGAAGTGAGGGGAGATAAGTATCTATCAGAAATAAATTTTTTAGGGTTGAAAACGTTAACTTTCATTGTTTTTGTGTGAAACATTAAACTCTGCAACAAGTAGGAAATCTTATGGTATCGTGTGAAATAGTAAGGTTTTTCAAACAGTTTGAAATCTATTGTTCCATTTTGAAATAGTAAGGTTTTGACTTGTTCCAAATCTTTTATTCCATTGTGTAATAGTAAGGTTTTTGACTGGTTCTAAATCTTCCATTCCCTTATGAAATAAAAAGATTTTTGACTAGTTTTAAATCTTCTGTTTCTTGTGAGATAGTAAGATTCTTAAATGACTCTAGATGTTTTAATCACTTGTGTGTGTGTTGTTAAGATTTCCTACAAGTAATGTATTTTATAATTTCTTGTAAAATAGTTTTCAAGATAGTAATAAATGTAAATTAAAGTAAGTTTTGATATAATATTATTTCCAAAAAATACTAAGTCTTATATTCCCTTTTAAAATAATAAAATGTAACATATAGTAAATATTTTGGACCCATGTGAAAGTGGAGATTTTCAAGCAAGTAATAGATGAGACAGTATGGTTTCCAGTATTTTCTAAATCTCATTATTCTTTGTGAAATAATAAGTAGTAATTCATATGGTTTCTTGTAAAATTTTGAGATTTCCAAAAGGTATTGAATCTTATGGTCTCTTGTGGAATATGATTCTAACAGTTAGTGACTCTTAGGGTCTTGCGGAATATGATTCTAACAGTTAGTGAATCTTAGGGTCCTGTGATATAGGAAGACTTAAAGCAAGTGGTATGTCTTATGCTCCCTTGTAACATCCTCCCCCATTCCCTGTGAAATAGTGAGACTTCTGTCAGGTTCTAAATCATATAGTCTTTTGTGAAATAGTAAGTTTTTCAACAGTTAAAAAATCTTTAAGTTCTATGTGAAATAATAGCTTCCATCAATTAGTAAGTCTTGTACTCCCTTGTTTAATAGTAAGGTTTCCAATAGGCTCTGATACTTTCCTGTTAAGCAATAAGATTTGTGACAGGTAGTAGCTCATAAATTTAAACACGTTAAAAAGTTTGATCCTATTTGAAATATTAAGCTTTCCAACAGCTAGTCAATAGACTTAAAAAATAATAGCATTATTTTGTTATATTTGAGTTGAATTTCTTATTATTAAAATGTTCACAGATTCTTGAAGAAGGTAAAAAACTGATTTATTTAGAAGTTACAAATATTTTTATTATTGTACTACTTGTACTGAAAGTTACAAGTGACAATGTATATAAGTATCATCTTACCACATAAATAATGATATTCATTCAACTTCAATGTGGTATGTGATCAGTAACGTCAACCATTTTTAGATTAACCATGTGTAATATCATATTTTTATCTATGATTAGTGTAGAATATGTGATATATTTCAGTATTGTACGTGTAATATGTTTAATGTGAAATAATAATCTTGTATAAGAAAGTTAACATATATACAAAAGTTGAAAGCAGTTTTAAAGTATTTGAACCTTTGAAATGATGTAACAGTTATAGAAGATATTTTATTTTGTACTTTACAACCTTTAATTGTTAAGTGTAAAGTGTATAATATGACATGATGTTAACAATCCAAATGTCCTTTGTATTGTTCCTGACAACATTGTGAAAGGTTTATAATAGACTTTGTTTTGTACTTCACAACACTGTAATGTAGTAACAATCAAATACGTTTTGTATTCTACTTGATATTATTGGTAAATATTTATAATGTGGTTTGTTTTGTACTTCAAAACACTATAATGTGGTAATAATCAAATACGTTTTGTATTCTACTTGATACCATTGTGAAATGTTTATAATATTCTTTGCATTGTACTTAAAAGTGTTGTAAAATGTTACAAATTATTTTCAACTGTTTTTATATTGAAATTACATAAAGTTGCAAACTATTGTTAATTGCTTGGAATAAAAAGTATTTAGCACGGTTTGAAGTAACTTAACAGGGTACAGGGTAAGATGTTGAATAAAGTGAGTTAAGGTGATTAATGATGCAAAGTGCTGCCCCATTAGTTAGTTTTGATGTGTACAGGGTAAGATGTTGAATAAAGTGAGTTAAGGTGATTAATGATGCAAAGTGCTGCCCCATTAGTTAGTTTTGATGTGTACAGGGTAAGATGTTGAATAAAGTAGTTAAGGTGATCAATGAAGCAAAGTGCTGCCCCATTAGTTAGTTTGATGTGTACAGGGTAAGATGTAGAATATAGTAGTTAAGGTGATCAATGAAGCAAAGTGCTGCCCCATTAGTTAGTTTGATGTGTACAGGGTAAGATGTTGAATAAAGTGAGTTAAGGTGATCAATGAAGCAAAGTGCTGCCCCATTAGTTAGTTTGATGTGTACAGGGTAAGATGTTGAATAAAGTGAGTTAAGGTGATTAATGATGCAAAGTGCTGCCCCATTAGTTAGTTTGATCATCTTTTTTGATTAAAATTGCTATAGTCTATAATTGTGGTTGCAAAACTACAAACTGGATCCATTTCATATATGTGTGTATGTTCAATTGATACCTGAAGACAAAGATGCATGAGCAGTATTTTAAGTTCACATGTGGTGTTTATTGAGGTGAAGAACTGTGTTGTAATTTCAACTCATTCATAGTGTGTTCAACTTTGTTATCTGCTCAACTCACAATAAGTATTAAGTATTGATATTTCAATAGATGATGTGGTCAGTTATGTTAAGATATTTTTTATATTTATGTAATAATGTCTATAATAATGTGTAAAATTCCAATGGATATAACAGTTTTCTTTTAGAACCAGTAGGAATGCAGTACTGGTTTGTGAGTATACACATTTAGTGTGAAAAAAGCTAATTTTAGAACCTTGTACTGGTAAAAATACCTACTCTTTTTTTTTTTATGTGCAAGTCTTATTTTATAACTCAGTATAGAATGTGCCTTAAAAATTCAGGATTTCAAAGTATCAATCTGTATGTACTAGTTAAAAAGTACCAGAATGTTTATATAAAATAGTCATTGAACAATTTCAAAAATGTTGTACATTGTTTTAAATCATACTTAATTATTTTGCAATGGAAATAAAAATTGGAAAATCTTATGTTTTACCTGAAGTTGTTCTAACTTTGATTAAGAAAGTTCAGTTATCAAAACTAGCTAGCATTCATTTTGTTCATAATTAAATAACATTACTGTGGTGTGTAGCTGTAAAATTTTTGAACAGTTAATCCTGTGAAGATTTGATTGGCTAAGAAACATGATTACTGTTCAGTAAAAACTCTGGTAGAGCTGGTTATGTCCTAGTGTTGAGTTGTGAATTGAAGGATCATGGGTTTGAGACTTGATGTTGCTGAAATTCCCTACACTTTCAGCTGTGGGTGCATTCTAAAAATGATAATCAATTGAGTTAAAATAATCATAAAAGTCCATTGAGGTGCCACATTCTGCTGGCTGATTGCCTTCCCTCTGGTCAGTAGTTCAAAATTAGGGACTGGTACACTTGAATCCTAGAGGAATGCTTTTTGTGTTCATTCAAATTCTTTTTTTGTCTCAGCTTCGTATTAATTCTCATTTGCAATGCCTACATTAATTCAAACCTCCTTCTTTTTAGCCTGTCGTCAAAATTCTCTTTCATAGATCTTCAATCCCTTGAATCTTTTCTTCCAGTTTGGATATATTCTTTTTCTCCTACTTTGACTCTATCTTGCCCTCAATCTGCTCAACTTCATCTTTTGCTTGTTCAAATTCTTCAGTCCTCTTTACCCTTTCTTTATGGAGCTATGCATCATAATACTGGCAGTTTTACTGGGGAAATTCACATCAGCCTGTTCTCCACACTCCTTCAATTTTTCCTTTAGCAGTTGCACAGTTAACTTGATTTCTTTTATTCTGGGACTTGCATAGTAAGGATGCCTTACTTTCTGAAGTTTGGATCCTTCAGAAGTATATTGGGAAATTTTGTTTGTCACCCTTCCTTCGAGATGAAGTTTCGTGGGTGTTCCACCTCTTATTATGTTCCTTTTCCTATTTGCCCCTACCAGGCCAGCCATCAAGGGACTTGGAGATAGCAGTTTCTGGAGCTACTCCCTGGCTCTGGTCCTGTGAGAACTCAGCTTTAACACTTTGTGCATCTGTTGACTCATTTTGCATAAAACTCTTGGACGGATTGTCTCTTAAACGCTTTCTCTGTTATTCAGGGCTAAAGCTCTATCTGTTTTTAATTTCGCATTTGGGCCTGCATTTCCACAACTATACAGGTGTTTAACTCCTCCTTGCCCCATCATGGGAGACATCCTCTTGTGCAACCTCCCTTATCCTTCAGGAATCTACTTGTTTGGTTTGGCTAGTCAGGCTCGTTAAGTCAATATTGACTCCTATTTCATACATGATTCATTTAGGATTCTTTCTCAACTCATTTGCTGGGCGTGCTCATCTTCATCCTTTACATATTCAAGATATGGAGCTTTTTCTTTCCAAGGCTTTCATATTACGTTTTCTTTCCTATGCAAGAGATTGTCTGTTTTGGGGGGTTCTAAAGTTCTTTCTTTTGAATGTGATCATTTGCATCACTTCGTTGCTCTGGAAAATCAGTGATCCATTGACTTCTTTCATTTCTCTCCCTCTATTTTTTCACCTCTCGCTATCATGATAGCTTAATTGTTCCCACATGACTCTGGGCATCCCTCTTTCTTCACCTCACCTTGACTTACATCTGTGTATGTTTGCCTTTCTAACTGGGTGGGGTATAATTCTGGACACCTTCATTTTGGCATTTGATGTCCAGGAGAACAGTCTTCGCATCAAAGTCCTCGAGATGTTGGAAGTTCAATGGGCCTGCCACCATTTTCTCTCGCATATTTCTGGACCTCTTTCTATGATCCATTCAAAAACCCTAACGTCCTTTATTATGTCAATCAAAAGGGAGGCGCTCGCTCTCAAGACCTTTGCTTTCTCACTCAGACCTTCTCTTTTAGCGCATATGAACACATTATCAGGTTGTCAACCTGTCATATCCTGGGGTTTTTTAACTTAGTGATGAATTGGCTGTCCAACAGAGTAGTTCTTACATCTTACGATGTTTCAGTTCATTTTTTTTTCACATATCTGGATTTGTTTTATCATTACGTTTGTTACTCCCCTCAACACTGTGCTTTCACTTGTTTGGTCACCAGTCCCATACTTTGTGGCCTTAGCAGTGGGTGCTCTTATTTCAGGATTAGCCTAACCTCTTTCTATATGACTATTTTCCTCTTTGACTTCTTCCCATGGTGCTGTTTATAATTTAAAGCACCCCTTACTGGGTTGTTTTTATTGCTTCCCTACCCGTTGTCCAGCTCAAACTCTTTTCCCTCTTGGTGACTTAGGAGCTTCAACCTCTT